ACTACAAAAAGGCGGACATGGTTGGTGCTGTGAAGTATCATCGGCTCCCAGATTCGTGTGGAGGTGGAGTCTTGCCAACTCACCGCGTGGCGGTTTTTGCTGGCGAGAGATTACAAAAAGCAATGCTTTGACGTGGAGGTTTAGCAAGCACACCTCCACACGAATCTAGGAGCCGATCATACTTAGAAACGATTGATTGGTGTGGTTCCTTGAATGCGGCTAATACAGTCAACGAAATGTATGAATTACTCATATTCATACTTCACCATACCATCGATCTTTTTGTGCCCATGAAAATGGTAGCTGTGGGCAAGTATACCATGCCCCAAAACATAGAGAGACTTTTCCATCTGAAGACGAAAGCTTGGTTCAAAGCTACGAATACCGGTAGAGAAAGAGATCTGGCACAGTTCAAAGCAATCAGTCTGAGGCTAGAAAAAAGACTAAAAAGATATAACGCTTATCTAGAAAGGAAGATAATTAAATCAGGAAATAAGTCAGCTTTCTATCAACTCCTAAACCGAAGGCTTAAGGCCAAAAATCCGATAGGATTCATTCGCTCGAAAACGGGTGAAGTTTTGATTTCCGACTTAGATAAAGTTGAAGGCTTTGCTGACATGTTTGAAAGTGTTTTTGAGAGGGATAGTTGTGAAGACATACTTTCTGATACCACTCAGCCTAGGTTCCAGGCTATGAGGGATTACACTTATTTCAATGACGTTGAGATCTTTAAGCTACTCAGCAAATGGCCAGATTCCAAATCTCTGACTCCTGAATTCTTACCATTGCATTTCATCAAAGAGGTCGCACACGTCATTTCGAGACCGTTGCAGTTCATATTCAATCTTAGCTTGATGCGATCAGAAGTTCCACATAGATGGAAAGTCTCGCTTATGACACCTATTCCCAAAAAGAAACAGCGTGGTAGTGTCTCAAATTATCGGCCAGTGAGCATCACATCAATTGTTGCTAGATTATTTGAGAAAATTATCAAAAAGGCAATATTGAAACATTTGCAAAACCAAAGCATAATTTCACAAGCACAGCACGGGTTTCAGAAGGGGAAATCAACCGTAACTTCCATGTTGTACTCACTAAATGATTGGACTCGTTGGTTAGAGCATAACAAGGGGGATTGATGTTGTCTATCTGGATTTTACGAAGGCATTTGACAAGGTGTCGCATTCGAGACTTATATTGAAGCTAAAGCTGGTTGAAATTCATCCCTCTATTGTTTCGTGGATTGCTTCCTTTCTAGATAATCGTGCGTTCAGTGTTCACATTGGTGAAGCTTTTTCTAGCCTGAGGGCAGTGCCCAGTGGAGTCCCGCAAGGCGGAGTGTTGTCTCCAATTCTCTTTAATATCTACACATATGAGCTTCCTCACTTAGTTTCTGAGGTACGAGTGACATGCTGTGGATTTGCCGACGATTTCAAGATATACAATCCAGTAGCAGGAATGGTAGATAAGGAGATGCAAGATGCTTTGAACCGAATAATGGTCTGATATCTGGAAATCATTTCACAAGAAAAACCAAAGTTCTTCACCGAGGACCTCCGGTTATGGATTACAATTACCGCATAAAGGGTGAAGTTATTGAATATGTTGATGAGATAAGAGATCTAGGGCTTCTAGTGAATAGTCGGCTGGATTTCGATAAACATTGCGAAACTCTTGCAGCTAAAGGAATTTCGGCAGTATATAATTTGTTTAGAGCCCTTTCCACAACTAATGCTGACATTCTCATGAGGGCATATAAGGTTTATATAAGACCTCTATTGGAGTATGGAACGGTAATCTTCAATCCAACGAAGCAAAGAACTGTATAAGCACTAGAAAGAGTGCAAAACTGCTTTACAAGGAAATTATTGATTAGAACCAAAGGCCTCAAATACGAACTTTTACCCAACGGAAAGGATCGAAATAAAATCTTGGGATTGGTCAGCCTGTGCAATGGAAGAAGAAAGCTTGATCTTCTTATGGCTCACAAAATATTATTCGGAGATTGCCAACTTAATCCCGCCAACTTCTTTGAGACTAGAAGTTCTATTACTAGAGGGGGACTCAAAAAATGGTAATACCAAGAGCAGGGAGGAATGTGAGAAGAAGATTCTTTACAAACAGAGTCAGCGGCGATCTAGATAAAATGATGAGAAAGGGTATGCTTCCTCTAAAATTGTCTCAGTTTAAAATGATTCTTGAGAACTATCTTCTTTCGCCATAGTTCCTTATATGATTGTTAGGCCTTTCTAGTTTGTTGTGTTGATTTGTGTTGTTTATTAGATTTTGTGTTCTGTTGAATGTAATATGCATAGGAAATTCCTACGCAATAAATAATAATAATAATCATGCAGACGACAGAAAATGACAAAAAGGCTCGATTGCGAAGTCAACACACATGCCTTAGGCTTGAGATATACCTGACGATGGAGGTATAGCGGGTGTTGGCGAATCGCTGATGTCTGCGCTGCCCTTAGCTGCTCGTGGCTGCTGCGCTGGGTATGCTGTGGGTGCAAGAACGAAGTAGCTTTACCCATTACTATGCTTAGCTTAGGTTATTAAGGAAAGTAAGTCTTGACGATTAACCAAAATTGAAAAATAATATGAGACCAAAAAAAAATCGTACTGTTTTCATCAAGAAATTTTCTTTATAACAAGCATAAAATGGCGTGCCAAATGTTGCATAAACTGAGAAAATTTTAATCATTTGACAGATATCAAGGAGTGTCACAGTTGAACCTTGATGTGTGCTTGAGGCAACATCTAAACTATCTAGGTCATAGCAGACGTTAATTTGTTGAGGTCTACTAGTAATATCCCACTGAATCGTTTGAATCCTCTAGCTTTTCATCGTTACTTAATTTGACTACGCAGTTGATCAGATTATTCTTTGTCGACTTTGTCAATTCTTTATCGATTTTCTTATCGATTCATTTACGTTTCGGTGAAAATTTGTATAGTTCATCAGTATCGAAACTGCTCTGAAAATCCTTCAGAAGTTCAGAAATATGTTAAAAAGGAGCAAATCCGAGCAAAATCAGCGTTAGCAGCTCGAAGCAGCTGAGAGAAGCTCACAAAAAGTGAGCTTCATATCGCGTAGCAGCGAGGAGCAGCAACGAGCAGCTGGGAGCAGCAGAGAGCAGCAAGAAGCAGCGCAGCATCGCTAGCTATAGCGGGTCTGTTTCGCGTTGGCTGCAGCAGCTAGGAGCAGCAGCGTCGCCTGGCGTCAATCGATACGCACAAAAGACGTTGCTGCTCGCAGCGTCTTATCGTCAGCTATAGCCACCCATCGTCAGGTATATCTCAAGCCTTAGCGCCAAAACGTGCGAGAAGTGTTCCGGCTCTTTCTGGCGCTCTTGGGCTTTTTTGGGCTTTTTTGGGCTTTTTGGGCTTTTTTGGGCTTTTTTGGGCTTCTTCAGGCTTTTTTCGGCGAAGTATGACGGGTCCCATAGAGTTGTTTCATTGCAGTCGCTGCAGCGGCTGCAGTCATATTGGGGCGGGCAAAATATATCGATGAAATCGCATGAAGTATGCCCGGCCCTTAACTCGAACGCTTCATGTGCTGCATTTGCACCATGTAGCATTTGCGCGTCGAAATCTCGAATGTGGAAGCTATTTCCTACTTCTTGTTCTTAAATTTCAACGTTTTCCAATGTTCAATACTCCGAGAATTGTACAGGACAAAGTATCAATCACTAGCTTCAATCAAACGTGAATGTTCACCGTTCAGAACTATTCACGTATAGTGCGCGTTTGCTATCTTCTCAGCTACTATTTTCCATTAACTTGTTTTTGTTTTTCTTCAAACGACATGTGTAGCACAGGTGCAGCATTTAGACGGCCCAACCTACCTGCCTGTTTTTGTTTTGCTACCGAAAGGACAACTTTCCCAGATTTGTTCCTTTGCGGACTTTCACAAAGGACGAGTTCAGGCGACACACATGAGTGACGTGATCGCCCGCGGCTTCTTCATAACTTGTGGCTCGCGCCCTCTGTTTGATCGATTCGTCATTATGAGTCCTGTGTTTACTACTTAATCTATTCAAATGTCCGCTTTGCATTCTGCTTGAACTCACACGGTCTCAATCTATATAGTGTCTGCTAAAATCAATGAAAATTGTTTACTATCTATGTGGGGTTATGTGGGTCACTAGTGTGACTGCTATGGGCAGCACGGAAAGCGTGTTTGCTTCTTCAGCAAATAATAATACGCATACAAATGTCAATATGAATCATCTTGGGCGCCACATGAATCAGATGGTGACCTTTACTCTCAGTTCTAGTTTGGCACAGGCCTCTTCCGGTCATTTCGCTGTTGTAATTGCGCAAACTTCTTGCCGCATAGATTTCAGCTGTAAAGTCGCTCTTTTTTCTTTTCATCTCTGAACGATATGATGAAGGTTCTTGATCCTTTTCTATATCAGTAATCTCTTCCTGTCGAGATGAGAGTCTCCAAAGCAGAGGTTCAAATGCATTCTTGTGAGCAAGCATGCTTTAGGACTGCTATGGCTCGGTTTCCAAGCACTTCAATCTCATTTTGCTCAAGTGCATAGCATTCCATAGGCGCATATTGCCCTTCGTTCTCATGAAATAGCCATATAAAAACTTTTATTCTCAAGGTTCTCACTCGTTGCGAGTTCAGCTCTCATATTCTATGATATTCTGTATGGAAGAGAAGCTCGAATTTCGTTGAACTCCTCAGAGTATTTCATTTCTGCCCGTTTTCTGTATTTACTCATGAATCAAAGACCAATATTGTTTGAGATGAGAAATGCATCAGAAGATACATTCAGCAGTAGGAGAAATCAGGCGAAACAGACGTGTGACTTTCCTTTCTTTTCTACTTTATCTGTCTTCCAGTATGTGCTGTTGCGATTAGAATCAGTGACCTTTCTTATCAGTCACTCCACAATTTATGACAACTTTCCCGTTTCCGCAGTCATTATCGTAACGTTCTCATATGTGTTGCATTTTCTGCAAACGTTCATACCCAAAACTAATGTTGTTTTACTAGGTTTTTGACGACTTTTATTCTCTAAACCTATGTCGTCTGGCCCAAGCGGATCTGATGTCGGTATGGGTGCTGCGTCTCCACCAGCAGCCGGGAGAGTATCAGTAAGGTTAGTTTCGCAATATATTCGTTTACATCTTTATTGGTGTTGCAAATTTATTTTCCTCTTTGCTTTTCTTAATGGGTTGTATCGATTTTCCCTTACCTAAGCATAACGTGTGAAAGAAGCGAAATTGGTTCCTGCTTCATCTCTACGATTCAAACTACTTAATAGTTCAAAGCGATGTAAACAACCTGACTAAGTACATGTAGAAGTGTACCGACTACTTGCTGAAGTCTTCCCGGTTGTATTTTATGAGTTTCATTCTTATGTAGAAAATGTGGGACTTTCTCTGACCTGCTCTTCCTTGCCTTCCTTACATTCTTAACTAGGATGAATCAATTCATCATTCCACATTAGCAGGTATCTGTGCTGCCTTTTTTGCTGCCCACCGTTTCCATCATCAATTGTATCAAAACTAGCATTCATGCCACCCGAGTCAAGTTACTCTATCACCGAGAATAAAAGGTAATCAAAAGGATAGCCACAATATTTTCTGTTAACCATGACATGTATTTTGAGGTTGCATCTTCTTGACGGCCGCGCAGAATGGCCGCATGACCCCGAACATCTGAATACAAACGTAGAGATGTTCGTTGCCAGGTAAGGAGTACTTCTATGTTTGTCTACCTTTCGCTAGTCCTTAGAGGTTGATTTACAGAACTAGGAGACGAAATCGGATTTCCTGTGTTTACGTGCGACCTGTCCCAAACGCATATTTCACATTACTCTTCTCGCATGGGAATGCTGTCGATATCGGCCAGATGTCGTCATTTTACTGGGGACTAGGACATCGCCTTGGATGCAATGTCTTCAGTTATGATTACTCCGGTAGGTTTCGAAGTGTTATCAAAAGTTTCTTTAATTCTGCTTTCGTTACAGGTTATGGGTGTTCGACGGGCAGACCATCGGAAAAGAATTTGTATGCTGATATAGCATGCGCATTCGAAACGTTGAAAGGATTGGGTATGTTCTTTTTTGAGCACATAAAGCGAGCAAAGAAGCTCATTTGTGCTTTACGACTACTTCTTTCTTCATTCATTTTGCAATGTTTGAATATTTTTCGAAAAAAAAAACCGAGCATTTTGACGGGTTAATCTATCTTCTACTATTGTTTTCCTTGTTATGTTGCTGTCTGTTTTCATTTATTATTGCTTTTTCGTTATTTTACTCATCCCTTCTCACTGCAGGTGTGCCAGCTGACCGCATAATTCTGTACGGGCAATCGATAGGTACAGTCCCAAGCGTAGATTTAGCAAGCCGAGAAGAGGTAGCTGCACTAATTTTGCACTCTCCGTTGATGAGCGGCATGCGCGTAGCTTTTCCTGGAACACAGCGCACCTGGTAAGATTCTCGAGCCCGGTTCTTTGCTTGTTCGTTTTTTAATATGAAGCATGCAGCAAGCTAACGAGCAATATGATTGATTTATACTGATTGATTACTAGTCATCATTTGTTGTAGGTGTTGTGACGCATTCCCATCTATAGAGAAGGTTCCTCGAGTAAAATGCCCTACTCTTGTGATTCATGGAACAGATGACGAAGTAAGTGGAAGATTTATAGGTTTTGTTGTCTGATGTTTTTCATTTTTCTTTTCACAGGTGATTGATTTCTCACATGGTGTTTCGATATACGAACGATGTCCGGCATCTGTTGAACCTTTGTGGGTGTCAGGTAATCGATCCCATTTCTTTTTACCTCGCTATCTCTTGAGTGAGGGATTTACGCAAACAAGACGTCATAAGAAGAAAATTGTGATCAAATATTGAATACAGTGACTCACCCCCAAGCTTGCATTATCCTTATTTTTTGCCAGTTTATTGAAAAGTGTTTCGAATTTATAAAAAAATGCTTCTCTATTCGTCATCCATCGTTTTTCTAGGTGCTGGTCATAACGATGTAGAGCTTCATGCTGCTTACCTAGAGCGTCTACGAAATTTCATCGAATGCGAAGCTCGGCGTTCTAAGGACGACATTGGTGTTCGTGTTTAGGTTTGTTTCTTCCACATTTAAGCTCTTCTATGTGTTGTACCGCATTCATTCTGTGATACGCTGGTATTATATCTCTGAAAACTTCATCGTTCTGAATCATATCTATTTTCCTTTGGCTATCGAGATATCGTTTGGCAGGCTATGTCCAAAGTTTTATCCACTTGTACGCCAATTTCATATTTCATTTTAAACCGATCTGATGAGCTTCTGTCTCATGTGAAACGATCTAAAACATAGATTGTAGTATTGGCAGTGTTCTTTCATTCCCAACATTATCTCCAGAGTTTCACATATTTTCTCTTCATTCTATTTGCTTCTCATCCAAATTTCATCAAGCCTCATTTGAGCACTTTCTTTCCATTTAGGGTCTCTCCTAACTTCTCACAGCTGGTTCTTGCTTTCCCTACTTTCATGAACTTTACCTTGATTTACGTGTGTAACTATCATCTTGTTTGGTGTTGTTCGCCAGTTCTTGTAGGAAACCAGATACGGTTACTGTCAAGTGCAAGATCTAGCCTCATATTGCAGGTTCTCGAAGCATAGCCACAATTTGCACAATAGTATTTTATCGTTGAAATGGTAATCATTAAAAATTCTTTTTAGATTTCGATTTTTGCTGTATAAAAATTGATTGGAATTGTCGACTGAAGGTAAATCGTCAAAGCAAGAATAGTAACTTGTTTAACCATCTCGAAGTAAAACAATAACAACAAAAACAATTAACAAACAATTGCAACAACGAGTTGTATGAAGTTCACAACATGACAAAAGCACAAAAACAAAAATTTTCTATACCACACCTCTCTTGAACTTTTCATACGCACTGAGCATTTCGCGATCCGTTCGTGGAACGATTGTCGTTAGTGTTTCTTCAAAGTGCTTCCATTGTACAGACTCTGCATTGATATTTTCTCGCATTGCTAGCAATGCTGCTTGTCGACAGACTGCAACGATTTCCGCACCGGAATAACCTACGGAATCAAAACATTTCTTTCATTTCAGAACATTTTTTCTCATTACTAACTGATCCCCATAAAATCACAGCTCATTAATCAGACTGTTACGGAAGGATCGGTGAAAATCGAGCTCATGACTAAGAAGCTATATGAGGTCTAACCTCGTCCACCTCACGCATACTGCGCTCCACTCACCATTTGTTCTATTTACAAGCTTTTCTACAATGTCATCTTCCGCCAGCATCATCCGGGATGTCCGCATTTTGATAATCTCCCTTCTTGTAATACCATCCGGAAGCCCCACATAGATCACTCTGTCGAGACGACCTAAAATAGGGAGAGGGGACTCTATAGTCTCTTGAAAGAAAGAAGATTGAATACCTGGCCTTAGCAATGCGCTGTCGAGCTGATCTGGTCGATTAGTGGCAGCGAGGAGAAGGACACCGCTTTGCTTTTCAAGTCCATCCAGTTCAGTGAGCAGCTGTGCCAAAACGCGATCCGACACACCTAAAATTCAAGAATAACACTGCATTTCTTTGACATAAAGAAACCGGAATTACATATTGAAGGTGTCTTCTATATATTTGAGAGGAAAAAGCACAGTAAAACGAGGGCGCTCGCCGAGGTATGATATTAACAAAACTGAAAGTCAAACCTGAGCTTTTTTCTGATCCCCTTGAAGCGCCAACAGCATCTATTTCATCAAAAAACACTATAGTCGGAGCTACCTGAAAAGTTCGAATGCAGCTGATCAGTACAATCTGCATAGTTTACATACCTGCCTAGCTCTGGCAAACAAGTCGCGAATCGCTTTCTCCGACTCTCCAACCCACTTGCTAAACAACTCCGGACCCTTGACAGCAAGGAAGTTCATCTTCGACTCATTAGCAAGAGCACGAGCAACAAGCGTTTTGCTGCAGCCAGGAGGCCCGTAGAGTAAAATTCCTCAAAGTGCTTTAATCTACGAAGAGATGAAACGTGTCTAAAAACTTTTCATCAGAACGGCGAATACCTGAAGGAGGATCGATGCCAAATCTCTCAAATGCATCCTTATGCTGTCTAGGCCAAATGACCGCCTAAGTTAGACACTCTTAGATTAGTACACAGCTGGAATAAGGCTCACCTGTTGAATTTCAAGCTTCAGTTCTTCATTTCCACCGATGTCATCGAAGCGCACATTGGGAACCTAAACTTCCAAGATAAGATCGAGAGTCTGCAAGCTGTTACTAAAAGAACACACTTCTAGTATAAATTGCCGGATGCCGGTAGGTCGCACGCGTTTCCGCGCATTCTCTAGTCTCTCATTTTCGGTATCTCCCTTTGTGAACCGAGCAGCAGTAACAACTGACTTCAGATCGCCCCCAGTGAAACCGTGGGTACGCCTAAAAAAGTACGCATTGATTGCGAACTACAAATCAAAAAGCTAACTCACCTAGCTAATTCTATGAGAACACTGTCAGCCGAACGTCCGGTCAGAGCAGATAAGATTTCAAGACGCTCCTCTTCCATAGGTACGTCCACTTCAACCTTAACTTGTGTATTTGCATCATTCACTATAAAACGAAATCTACAGTCCGTAATAAACTAACTTCCACCGGAAATCGCACTCTAATCCCAAGATCGAGATCTTCAGCTTGACGAACAGAAAGTATAATCGCAGCACACTGCAAATCCACTAAGGATAATTTAGTCTCTCTATTTCAAACAAATTCCATTTCCAATCAAGGATGTAGAAAAAGTAAAGCATAATGATAGATTGGCAAACTTACTAATCCATCATCAAGCAGCTGGCATAATTTGGCAAAGCCTTTGTGTTCTCTGTCGACCTGCTGCCAATCAAGTATCACCACATTTCCAGGCGGAATCAATGCATAATGCTCATAAAGCTTGTCCATAGACTGCAATGAGGGACTTTGGAATAACATGTGGTGTAAAAGTTGCGGAAACTCACATGGTAGTAGGATGCACGCTCGCCCAAAACCTTGGCAACAGTTGATAGAAGCAAAGTCTTCCCGCTGCCCGGCAAACCCCAAAGCAGTATGGAACAGCAACTACTGTCCCTGAAATCCAACGAATACATTTTTTACATACCGATTATGCCATATCCTTCTGAAAATACCTCAAAAATGGCTCTACGACAAATTCCAAAAGGGTATTCTTGGCGGTATGCATGCCTCCGATAGTTTTCAGAGGCTTCAATCTATCTGACGACACAGATGGCCGCGCATTTTGTCCAGCTATCGTTACAATGCAACCGCTGCTGATAAAGATGACGTTGTCCGGCTTGACAGGTCACTTTGATTCTTTGTTGTGTGAAAACGTCATTCTCACCTCAAGTTCTCCCTCTTCCATGGACATCTTCTTCACAGAAATCTCTAATGGAGTTTCAGGTATTACCTCGAGAATCTTGCCAAAATAACTGACTGGTATATCAATTCCAGGCTGTACATATGCGTTGGTCAGGAATACCTAGAAAAAATCGAATTCTCCACAATGTGAAGCTTGTGGGAAGAACAATGACCATAATGAAATCGTAGAAGATGAGCTGGACGAGCTCACTTACAAATTGAAAAAAAAACGACTAAAAAGACGAAACAAAGGAGTGCCGCTGTCGCAAATAGAATAGTGGCTCATGTATAAAACGAAGACCAGATAGAATAGAACAAACTCAAATTCAAATAAATTTTGAAGACTTGACCACTAGAAGTTGTACCTGGATGTAATCTTGAAGAGACTCAGTGATTGGAAATGAGCATCCTTTCACTGAAACGGAGACTTGCTGTAGCGATACAGGATCCCAAACAGGAATGATAGTGGCCAGCTTATCCCATGGTGCATTTTCTTCCGTAAGTGCTATTCGCATCGCTCCTAACTGCGAAGCTTTTGAATGTATTATGGAGCATTATCTTATAACTAGCTGTCTCACCTCTTTGCAAGGCCAGATTACGGCTATATACTCACGGAGGGGTGTACAAACACGAACAGGCTGTCTTGGAGACACGCTAAGAATCTCCATAGCTTGAGGATGTATTAAAACCGAATGTCGCCGAAGCCATCCACTAGCGTCGGGAGGCATGTACTCTTCCCACTTCTCAAACTGAGTGACGAAACCTTTCATAAGGCATCGCGGTTTGATCAGCGATATCTGCAGAACAGTACTTTTCTGTTGCTTTTCAAGGCATAAGTTCACATAGCTTAAATGCAAGTGGATTGAAGTAAGACGTCAGATAAGTCGAGTTACTAATGTCTGCCGACTCACCTCCCAATTTACCGGTGACACGGAGCATAAGTCGCTATGCCGTTGAATGTCTTTTGCAAGTACTGTGCAGCTGCATTTCTCACATGTACTATATGTTTGTGGCTTCTTCTTACCGGACATGGCTGGAAAAAAAACCAGAAGATTACAACTGAAAAGAAACAGCAGCCATCTCGAAATACGAAAAAGAAGCATAAGGCAATTCGAAATTTTGAAATTGGTTGCTATCTGAAAAAATAATGCGCTCCAATCGATCTCGAGCAACTCGTCCTCATATCGGCTAGTCGCGCGAGTGTTGTTGCGATCGGTCGTTTCGCTCGCACACTGGCACCCAAAAATGTTGCTTGCGTTTTTTTTTTGTCGGTTATCGAAGAGAAGTTAGTCCCCACGATATTGCACATCATTCCTGAAGATCCATTCCACAAGTCTTTCACCTATTTCTGATATCATTTTGTGACTTTCAGTTAAAAATCTATAGTAGGTTTAAAGGCACCGTCCACCCAGATTTTAGACTTCCACTCAATTTAGGCGGGAACTGGACTGGCGGGTGTCCGCTTCGCAACGATTCACGCCGTTATGCAATCTGCGTCTCTTCATTCTAGTCTATCTCGCTGAGCTAGTGGCGGTACGGTCCGCTGCTCCACTTGCAATGTTTCGCCTACTGTGCGGGTTGAAAAAGACTGTACAACGAAGGTGTAACTGGCATTAGAACAGTGCGGAGAACAAACACTTGGACACACAGCATCCAATCTGCCTCTGGTTGCCTCCCAGATATGCAGACATACCGTCTGCACCCCAGAAAGGTTCCCATGTGAACCAGCGTGCATACGTGCGCCTTTCGCTCTTTTTGACACGTTTCTCCTGAGATTTCAACGGAAGTGCCCGAGGTTAACAAGTTCAAGAGTGCGAAAGGCAGCGAGATGACGTGGTACCTATGGGAACCTCTCTGGGGCGCAGACGATACAATTTGTTGGGCATTACCTATACTTGAGGCTCACAGTGACTGTTGTTCTTTAGCAGGCAGTACGTGGATCCAAGCACCGCCTTTACTGGGCATCTACAAGCGATGAACGACACCAAAAAGACCCGTCCCTGCAGCCGGGGCGGCCGTAGACGTTGAATTGCTTAAGTTACGTCATCAGCTGATATAGAAGAGGATGGAATATTGAATGTGAGCTACCAACTTTTAACTATGGCAACCGTTTTCACCTAACTGGACATGCCTGAAAGTCGAATTGATCAGTGATAGTTCACGAGGCATTACAATAGATGGCATGCACTGTATTACTAGCTACATTCGAAACTTGATACTAGTATGCTGGGCGATGACTATTGCCGTGCTGCATCGGTGGTTTTTCTTTGGTGTACGAGTGGAATTCTTTTCAGCTGATAAAAGTGGGCAAGGCGAATGCAGTGCTTTCTGTATAACAAGGATGTTTATAATGATTTCTAGCAGCACTTGTTCTTGTCAGATGACACGATGGCTGTCCTAGCTATCAACATTTGCCTACTTCGTCTAGATTTTGTGGAAGCCGCGTTGGAGATGCTGTTGGATCGCATCCAGTCGAAATCGAATTATTTTGCACATTCAGATGAGAATCGCGATCAACACATTTCGGGGGAGGCGTGCAAGTGGTACCCAGGCAGCCAGCCGCCAGAGCTGGCGTCAGCGCCGACGCATATGGTAGATTAAGTACGGTAGCCACTGAAATCTCCTGCTAAGAGGTTTCCTCGCACCTCGTCGCGCTGAGGTGCGATATCAGCTTCAGGAACAGCGCGATATGATCAATGGTTATATCATTTTGAACAGTAAAAAGCTTATAATTCACTAATAAAAAGCAAATGAACAAGTTTACACAGAGTAGAGTTTTCCTAAAGGGAAACGGTTATGCAACTCAATCCTTCAATTAAGTCAAAAATTGTGTAGTCACTGATGAAAGGTGGGTTCATTCTCAGAATCATTTTTTCGCATTCGTTTTTTTACATTTAGCAATGTTGGGCAGCGATGAGAATTAGAAACTTATTAAAAAGCTCAAGTTATTCACTGCAAAGCAATGCAGAAAAAAATTGTGAAAATACGACCGAATGCGGAAGAAATGACTCTATGAACGGAAATTTCCAAAACTGCCCGAGAACTTCCTTTACAACCTAATAAGTTCTTGATGATTTACGTTGCCTTCTCAGCAAATGTGACAAATTTCACCTTTTATCAGTGATCTATTCAATTTTTGACCTACTTCGGCTCATTTATCTGACCCAAAAGGGGCTTATTCAGCTCGCTTGACATCACTAAGTTTTGAAATGCTAATTTTAACAGACTTTTTCATCATGTCTCGTACGTCCTCCTCCTATTTTGAATTCCAAAGAAATTTTGATCACTAAACACTTTTTTTGCATCTTGAATTATTTCAGCTTCTGATTATTCTAAGGAATTAAATTTCATAACCTTTTTTCCTTTAGGAAAACTCTATTCTATGCAAATTTGTTCACTTGTTTTTTGTAGTCAGTCATAGAATTTCTGCTTGCTGTTTACTTTGTTCAAAATGATATGAATATTGATATATCGCGCTGTCCTTGAAGCTAATATCGCACCTCAGCGTGACGAGGTGCGGGGAAACCTCTCAGTAGGAGATTTCAGACGGCTAGCGTAATTATCTTACCATATGCGACGGCGCTGACGCCAGCTGGACGACTGGCTGCGGCGGCAGTCGGCTGGCTGGGTACCACTTGTTACGCACCCCATTTTGGGTAGTTGTACGCATTTTACCGATCTTGTGTCCCAAACTGTCCGAACTACCAATGAGCAGCGTCTCAAATGCCTCAAGCTTTGGGGACAACGTGAAATAAAATGCAGCGGGTGTGGTTTCAGCGAGTTATCGCGGCTGTATAATCGCGAGAATCTCAGCGCACGAGCAGAAGAGATCGAGGATCTGATTGAGCCAGCGTCATACCGTCATTTCTGCCACGCTTCCGCCACGTTAACGTCACATTCCGCAAGCCTGCTATCCTCTCGCCATCCACCCGACCTCCATTTCACTGCCACCTCCTCGAAGCCACCAGCTCCCCAAAATGCCACCATCGGCTCTGCTCACCTGTAATTTCATGCATTTTCATATTTTGGCTGCTTTATGTGATTATTTGGTAGCCCCTCCTCCGGGAGTATCACCGGCGACGATGATGGCTCCACGGGGCGGGGCGCTGCCCCAAGCTGGATGGGTGGCTTCGAACCGGCTTCGCTTGTTACTCAAACGTTAGCGATAGTCGCTCAATAGAAGAACCCCTCTCATTCTCTCTGTCTTGCAAAGTCCACTGAACCACTGTACTTATATTTCGTTCGTATTCGTTATTTCCTTTGTTATTATTATTATTTATCGATAAACTCATTATCATTGAAGTCTGAAGCACCGTTTGGCACATTTTATCCACACTCGAAATTGCCTGGAGCAACGCCTTTGCGACTGTGACCTCAGCATGCAGCTGCTCGCTATCCTATCAACGATAAGATTTAGGATACACAGATAATCTTTGATGCAAAGAGATGAGCAACTTGTACATAGATAGTGAATCATATCAAGTTAACTGTATAAAACCGCCACATAAATAGCGTCGTAGTAATATGCCGGTCCTCGCGAAGATAGTAGAAGAGTTGGGCGCTGAACAGCGTTAGTCTCCCATCGTCCAAGCCCTATTGGCCATCGATTCTAAGATCAACACACTATTGAATTTATTCGCGGCTCTGGACGTCAACATCACTTGGAAACGGCAATACCGCAAAGAGCTCCTGCGCGTGCAGCCCCGAAGCCGAAGGCACCCATCCATCAGGCCTGCCCCAAGTATGAGGAACCCATCTCAGGCGGTCCAGGCCTCCCGCCTGGACCTATGTGAGGGGTGTCTCCGCTGCACCACGAGGAGACACTCCTCTCCTTTTGCGGCTTTCGGCAGTGGTTATAGCTGGCATCGCATCTCCTTGCGATGCCAGCTACAACCACTGCCGAAAGCCGCAAAACACTGTGTTGTGCTCGATACGCGGCTTCCGTGACACTCCCAAGAAGTCGCAGAACAAGGGAAAAAATCTTGGGTAGTTATGATTGTACGTTCGACTGCTTTTTATGTTTATATTTTGATATTCCTTTGCCTCAAGGGTATCGTGAGTAGCAAGGGCCACACATGCCCTTGTAAGTTCTGTTTCAAACTTTAACATCTTTTGGGACAAGTCCTGTGGTTTTTTCTATTTCAATCGCATATGCAAAAAGCATGTGAAAATTGCTACGCGACACCTACAGGAAGCACAGAACCGCCAGGACGGATCCGCATCGCGCAATCCTAGATTTACACGAAACATCTACTATTTCTGGGCACTTGCGAAACTACGGTGTAAATTGCCGATTTTTCAAACATATGCATTCTTTATTTGGTTTTTTGAAATTGTATTGTGTCATAGTGCACGGATTTCCAACCTGACAAGCAGCGGCACGTCGTCCACATGCCCGTTGTCGCAGGAGAAGGAAAACGTGGACGGCGTAGAGATGGAGGTGGAGAGCACTCCCTCCAGCAACTAGTGAGGGTTCGCTGGTAGAGGAACGCTCTCCATCGCGCTCTCCATCTCAGAAGTTGGTGCGGACTTCGCCTATAAAGAGGAAAAGGGCGCCCCTGCAAGTTAGTAATGAAATTATCACATATAATCTAAATTTTCTACTTACTCTTCGTCAAATTTCATAATTTCAGTAGCTCGAAACTTCCTGCAAGAGGCTCCCAAGGCCGTTAAAGCCCGAATGCTCGCCCTGGAAGTTGAGAAGCAAAAACCGCTGTACTGGAGCAGTGCGGTAAGAAGTCTAGGTTTTTGACAAGCTTTGATTACGTTTCTATTCTTCTGTAACATAGCAGTTAGTCACAACTTATCTGAAGGGCCTGCCAGACAACGTTGCCGTTTTTGTGATAGGTCTTGTACCAATGTCAATAAAGGTTTTGAATGTTTATTGTAGGATTCCATACAAATTATCATAATACGACACAAGACGATTTCTCGCTATTTTTGCCGAATCTGAACCGGCGTCAGCAGTTTGTTGTAATGAGGCAAAGCGATCTGGCAGAGGCGAGTTCCTTGCTGGCGCGAATCGTTCTACTCCC